TCCAACTGGGCCATGACCTCCTGTCGGGCCGACTCGAGGTCGGTAAGATTGGGTAGCGCTCTTCCCGCTGGGAATTGTGGTTGGCTGGGCTTGGGCGGCGGTGGTGCGGGTTCGGGAGGCAAGTTCTGGAGTACCTCCTCATCTTCCTCCGACAGCTGATTTGGGTCACGACCGGGTACGGCAAGGATCATATTCCTGTGGCTAGCAGACCTGGGAGGGAATGAAAATCAATCAGTACATGACGACTACAGACTACACCCCCCGATGAAACAAATGATTGCTCCACCTGTTCTTTGTAGCCAATCCGTTCCTGACGAAGTAGTGCTGGAGATGTGCGATCGATCCTAGGGCCATGACGGATTCTCTCTTGGCGGCGGAACTGGAGAATTGGCGAGGGTTGACTGGAGTGTAGTACGGCATCCTGAGTCGCTGGGGTGGATCTGATGTTTGGTTTTCCATTGCTGATGAACTCGGTGCCTGTTCTGCTACTACTGATACTGCTGGTGGTGAAGTAGAAGGAAAGGGTAATAGTTTGTTGGCCATTGTGGCTGAGTGGTGGTGGTGGTGTGCGGAGTAAATAATATATTTTTTTAGGTTTTTTAAGGTTTGTGTGCTTCTTCGCCAGTTCACAGCAACAGGCTTCTGCAGCAGTGCAGGCTGGAGGAGATTCAAGAAGGAAACCGAACCTCAACTGAAACTCTCTCGACTGTCAAGACCACCAACCCACACTCGACCTGTTTATGTAAACACACTTGGCTTCAGCAACCCCAGATTAGCATTTCATGAACAAGCACTTGTTTTGCCCAGCTTTTGGAAGCATGAGACCCCTCTTGTGGCAGATCAAGGAGCTTGGCAAACTGGGGGATGTAGATTGACGAAAAAAAAACCCATCCAGTTTGTGGCTGTAGCTGTAAGTTGACACCATGAGTTCAAAGTGCCCAAATTCACCTATATTTCCAGTTGAGGCAAGTAGCATAGCCCCACTCAAAACTCCCCTATTCAGTGAAACATGGAGGAGAGAATTCATATATGAAAATTTGGCAAATTTCAGTCTTCTCCAGGCCCCGTTTGGCAGCATCATAAATTCAAGTGTAATATTGCCTTATAAATTCAATAAAAAATGAACCACTAAAAAATATGTGATAAAATTTTGACTGGGGAAAGGTCAACTACTGATTTAAATTTTAGAACAGAAAAATTACATATAATGGGCTATCTTCAGCACCATAATACCAATATTGGGCTCAAGATGGCCTAAGAGATCAAGTTTGTTCTCAGCATTGATGAAACCAGTAATTGAACTTTCCTGAGTAACAATTTTGAAACATATTTTGCATTGTTTTATTTTTTATTGAATTAATCAGGCAATATTACACCTAAATTTATGACGCTGCCAGACGGGGCCAGATCACACACTCCCCAAAGTACTAAAAGAGGCTGTTTTCAATTGTTGAGGGTCCAACATTCAAGACATGACACTACAAACAATACCAGTTTACCCCAGGAAAAAATGGCAATTTGGGGCAGTGGGAAATAGTTCAGTTTCCTT